AAAATAGATCCCAAAGAGATAATTTAAGAATTATGGGACCACTTGAAATCCATGATCAAAAAAAGAGCCTAGATATCCTCTTTCAAGAAATTATTAGGAAAACTACCCTGGTATTCTAGAATCAGAGGGTTAAACAGAAATTGAAAGAATCTACCAATAACCTCTTGAAAGAGATCCCAAAATGAAAACTCCCAAGGAATATTATAGCCAAATTCCAGAGCTCCCAGGTCAAGAAAAAAATACTGCAAGCAACAAGAAAGAAACAATTCAAATACTGTGGAGCCATAGTCAGGAAAACACAAGACTCAACAGCTTCTATATTAAAGGATCAGAGGGCTTGGAATGTGATGTTCTCGAGGGCAAAGCAGCTAGGATTACAACCAAGAATTATCTATATAATAGCAAAACTGAATATAAACCTTCAGTGGAAAAAACCAGACATTTAATGAAATAGAAGACTTTCAAGCATTCCTGATGAAAAGGCTAGACCTGAATAGAAAAGCTGACTTTCAAATACAAGACTCAAGAGAAACTTAAAGAAGGAAAAAGGAAAGAGAAATCACAAGGGATTCAATAAAGTTAAACTCTCTACATTCCTACATGGGAAGATGATACTTGCAATTCCTAAAAACTTTATCATTATTAAGGCAGTTAGGAGTTTACACAGACAGATGGCACAGATGATTATCTAAAAAAAAAAATTAAGGGATGAGAAAGAAGAATGCATTGGGAGAAAGGAAAAGGGAGAAGTAGAATCAGATAGATTATATGATATAAAAGAGGCTCGAAAGAGTTTTTACAGTGGAAGGGAAGATGGGGGATGTGGGGGTAGTATATGTGAACCTTACTCTCATTGGAATTGGCTCAAAGAAGGAATAATAGACACACTCAACTGGGTATAGAAATCTATCTTACCCTACAGGAAAGTAGGAAGGGAAAGGGATGGGGGGGGGTGATAGAAGGGAGGGTGGATTGAAGGAGGAAAAGTCAGAAGCAAAACAGTTTTGGGAATGGACAGGGTGAAAGCAGAGAGAGAGAAGGATGAAAACAGGGGGAAATAGGATGGAGGGAAAAACATAGTAATCATACCTGTGGAAAAAAATTTAACAGCAAGTTTCTCAAATATATAGAGAACTGGGCCAAACTTACAGAAATAAGAGCCATTCCTCAGTTGATGAATGGTTAAAGGATATGAACAGGAAGTTTTTGGATGAAGTAATCAAAGCTATCTATAGTCATGTGAAAAAATGTTCTAAAGCACTATTGAGTAGAGAAATGCAAATTAAAACAATTCTAAGGTACCACCCCACACCTGTCAGATTGGCTAATGTAACAGAAAAGAAAAGTGACAAATGTTAGAGGCAGTGTGGGAAAATTAAGACACTGATACACTGTTGGTAAAGTTGTATACTGATTCAACCATTCTGTAGGGCAATTTGGAACTATGGCCAAAGGGCTATAAAATCATGCATACTCTTTGACCAAGCAATAGTACTACTGGGTCTGTATCCCAAAAAGATAAAACAAAAACAAAAAGGAAAAGGACCTATATGAACAAAAATATTTATAGCAGTTCTTTTAATGGTGACAATTGGAAACTGAGGGGATGTCCATCAATTGGGGAATGGCTGAACTAGTTGTATATGATTGTTATGGAATACTATTGTGTTATAAGGAATGAGCAGGATATTCTCAGAAAAACCTAGAAAGACTTACATGAACTGATAGAAAGTAAAATAAGCAGAACCAGGAGAATATTTTATATAGTAATAGCAATATTGTATGATGATCAATTATAACTTAGCTATCTTGGCGATACAGTGATCTAAGATAATTCTGAAGGATTTATTATAAAAAAAATTCTATCCACCTCCAGAGAAAGAATTGATGAAATCTGAATGAAACATTTGCTTTACTTTCTTATTTTTTCTTGTTTTTGTCTATTTTCTTTCACAACATGACTGACAAATATGTTTCACATGAGTGCACATGTATAACCTATATCAAATTGCTTCCATTCTCAGTGAAGTGGAGAGGAAGGGAGAGAATTTGGGACTCAAAAATGTTAAAAAATGAATGCTAAAAATTGTTTTACATGTAATTGGGGGGAAATGAAATATTAAATTAAAAAAAGAGAGAGGGTGTGGTATAGTGAATATAGTGGTATATATGTGGTATAGCTGTCTTCAAAGTCAGGAAGACTTGGATTCAAGGGTCACTTCTGTTACATACTGGCTGTGTAACCCTGAGCAAGTCATTTAATCTCTTGGTGCTATATATAAGACTATAATTTTTAGAGAAGGTGCCATACTGCATTGACAAAGAGAAAGGTGCCTCATCTGAGAGTTTTTTATACAAATGAAATCACAGAACCAGGACTTGTCTTTCCTCATAAGAATGTAAGCTTCTTGAGGACAGGAATATAGTTTTTTTTCTTTCTTTGTCCTCTGGAATTTAGCAAGCACAGTACCTGGCACATAGTAGCTTTAATAATGGCTTGTTGTTTGATGAGTCAATAACAGAACAACTGTTAATATAATGACAGAAATTGTTAATATCAATTGTAATGTTACCTACTATTCTTCTTAAACGATCCTCGTAATGTTAGACTTTCAGTAATGTCCTTGCATTCCTGCTCTTAAGATGTTTATTCTCAATTAAGTTGAGCTGAAATACATTCCAAGTCCCCACCCTGAGCTCTTTGTAGAGGAACCTACTTGGAGCTGAATCTCAGCTTCTAATGTTCTTGCCCCCTTCTGTTGAGAGTCCCAGCACAAAGGGCAAAATAGCTAGAATGAAGTGGTTTTCCTTGATCGAACTGCCAGGGATGGCTGGCCTTGCTACTAATGTGACTCCCTTCCCCCTTTTCTCCTACAAATATGAGAATCTTTTCCTGTGAGTTTGCTGGTGGGACATCATCCAGAGTGGCAGGCTTGCATTAAAGATGCTTTATTCCTACACTCATGAACCTGCTTTATTTCAAGACTTGACACTTTATATCTCTGGCACTTAGCAAGCACAATACCTGGCACACAGTAAGTCTTTAATAATGGTCTTTAATAATAGTCTTTAACAATAATAAATTCTTGTTTGATTAGTCCTCACTCACAAATGCAAACTGTGTCACAGTATGGATTCACATGCACCCACAATGACACCCAACCACATCCCAAAACAAGATCGTGCTCATCAGACACACACACACATACCCTTGCTCAGTTCTTTGGACCTTGACACCCTGGAACACCTCTCCTCCAAGCCTTCTTCTGTTGAGAGTTCTTTCCCATTTTGGGGGTACTTCATTTCCCACTGGGCTGTGCTTCTGACTCCACCAGAAGTATCATGCCCTTACCTGATGGCACTCTGCCTAAAGGAAGATAAATCTTGATGGCTGAAACCTACCTAGTTATGTTGGGGTTTACTGAGTAGATTTCATTCTTAAAGACCATGCCTTAAACCCAGTTCACTTTGGCTCTCGTTGACTGGCCAGCAACAGTTCCCTGTCCAAGAATCACTTAATGGTTATTTTTTTGGAGGGAGGCCCTCATAGCTCAGAGTGAATGCACATAGTAAGTGTTTCTTTCGGCCAGCAACCTGAGGGTCTTCCTCTCCCAGTGTTGTTTTTGTTTTTGTTGTTATTTTTAAATTAAAGGGGCCATCCCTTGACTTACTTCTTAAACAGGCCTATTCACTGAATTGGCCACTGCCTCACTCAAAGTGAGAACTAGAAAAGACTTTAGCTTAAAAAGGCCAAAGTCCCCCACTGTATCTAGGGCCATTTCCAGTGCTCCTGATCTCTATCTGGCCACTGGACCCCAATGGCCGTGGAGGAGAAAGTGAGGCTGGTGACTTATTTAGTTGCAAGTCATGACATCACCTTCCTGATATAAACCACCACCAGGCCCTACCTTCTTCCTAGACCTCCCCTTCAGCCTTCCTTCCCCATTAGAATGTAAGCTCCTGGGGGGGGGGGCGGATGAGGGGACCCAAAGGAAAGCTTCTTCCTTTTGTTTTTGTTTATATCCCCATCTCTCAGTACAATGCCTGGCTCATAGTAAGTGCTGGATACATGCTTCTTGCCTGCCTTTGGGGCACACAGTCTAGAGTCTCTGCCCATTGCCCTTAATTCTAGCTGACATCTCCACTTTTGTCCTGTATGTTTATACGTGGTCTCCCTCTTTAGACTGGGCGCTCCTTGAGGGCAGGGGCTGTCTTTGCCTTTCTTTGTATTCCCCAGAGCTTAGCACAAAGCCCGGCGCAAAGTAGGCGCTTAGCAGAAAGTTTGTTGACTGACTGACTTACTGACTGACAGCTGAGCGGAGGAAGAGAGAGGCCTCGGGCCAACCCCACAGGGGGCCGTGAAGGGCCGGAGCAGGGGCCATGCTACAGAGGGCGGGGAGGGCAGCTGTCACACCTAGGGCCCAGACCCCGCGTCCTCCACCAGCCTCCAGCACACGGAGAGCCTCCACCCCAAAGTTAGCAGGCTCCGGCCCGAGTGGGCGAGGAGACAGGGAGGGTGAAGAGAGGAGCGCGAGGGCGGAACCAATAACAAATGGGGGGGCGGAGCCCTAAAGGAGACAAAGTTACGTGGGAGCGCCGAGGGGTGGGAGAGGGAACGGAAAGAGACGGAGCCCTAAAAGAAACAGGTGTGGGGAAGAGGCAGGTGGGGAGAACGCTAAGGAAGGCGGACGGTGCCCGAGAGGGCCACAAAAAGGAAAAAACGAGACAGGAGCGTTTCGGGGCTCGCACATAACAGGGCCCCAAAGGAGACACTCAAGGTGAAAGTCGCAGGACAAGGAAGGCTAACGCAAGGTGGCAGATCCGACCTCCTCAGAGTCTGTCAGGATGCCGCGTTTGCGCCTCAACCCGCGATTGGAGAACCTCTCTAAAGCCCGCCTCCTGGAGGACAGCCTGACCAATGCCTGGGAGGTTGCGGGGGCGGGACCTGCGAAGGGGAGGGGCCATGCTTCCCGTGCGCAGCCTCCTCCGTTCCTGGGACTGGGGGGCGGGGCTGGGGGGAAGCGCGAGCTCGCCCTGCGCGGGTCCCCGCCTGATTGACGGACTAACTCCGTCTAACTTGGCAGGATTGACTGTCGGAGCGGTGCGCCCTTAAATCATGAAGCCTCCCAGGTAAGAGTTGTCCTTCCTTGCCCTTGGCCGCCAGCAGGTTTTCATTTCATTCCTGCGCTCTGCACGGAAAGTGAAAACTACTCTTCCCAAGGGCTGTTTTAACACTGACATAATTAGTCACCAAGCTCATTCATCCAGTTAAAATGTTTCCAAGGCTCCCTCCCTCCCGGGCTTTTCTTTTTAAGCCACTTGGGAGTTCTTCTCTGGCACGACCTTCCAGACCTCTCGTTTCTGCCGTAGAGTGGGCTAGTTGTGGCCGGGCAACAGGTTGTGAGGCGATTCTCCTACTTCCTGGTGTTGACAGAGGCGGCCCGGAGGCCCCCCGCTGGGAGGACCGATGTTCAGGGATTCCATGATCTTTCCCCGGATGACTTTCTTTCCCAGGACCGAATGAGGTCTGTTTTACAGTATTTCTGCAGTATTTATACTGTATATATTTATATACATATAACGTATATATTATACATTGATTTACAGTATTTATACAGTACTTCCCAGATACTGCATCACGCTAGAAAGAGAGGCTGTGGGATGAAAATTTATACCTGGAAGCCTCTACTAATCGTGTTAAGTCCAAACCCCTCATTTTACAAGATGATACCCAAAGAGGTGAAGGGACTTGTCCAAGGTGACTTATTACTACAAAGTGGCAGAGCTGGAATTCGAACCCGGAGTCTCAAATTCAAAATAAATCCAATCCTCTTTACACAGCCCAACCAAAATCATCAACCGGATGACAGAATGGATTGAGCATTGGGCCTGGTGTCAGGAAGACCTGAGTTCAAATTCGGTCTCAGACTGTTAGCAGCTGTGTGACCTTGGGCAAGTCACTCAACCCTGTTTGCCTCAGTTTCCTCATCTGTAAAATGAGCTGGAGAAAGAGAATGATACTCCAGTATCTTTTCCAGGAAAACCCCCAGACAAAACGACCCAAACCCAAATCAAGTTATTCTTCTCAGTAAAATGAGTGTTGAATTACACAGTCTCCAGTAATTTGAAATTATATGGTTTGTGATACAAATTATATGGTTTTGTGATACAAACTATGCTTAGTCCTGCCTCTGTTCTTTAATATTTAACTTCTCCCTTTCCCAATTATATCCTATTTCTATTTAAGCCTTCTTCAATTCCATGAATCTTTCCTGACTACTCAGACTCCCACTGAATTTGCAGGCTGTACCATATTACTTAGCACTTAATTATTTAATGATTCTCTACTAAAGTTAGGGATGTGCTGGTAAATAACAAACGACTCTTCACAAAAAAAAATGTGCACACAAGACACACTTTAATTTAACCAGTATTACTAACATTTTCTTTATCATTTTCTTAATTCTAGGCAGTCACCAAAATAATAACTCAACTCTGTTATGTAGGTGTGCCAGTTTCCAGGCACAAATGCTCACACTGAAAATTTGTCTGCTCCAGCACATTCCTGATTAAAATCCTACTCTATTGGGGCGGTCATTTAAGACTTGTTGATGTTACCGATTAGGTCAGACTCTGGCAAATCCTACCAGATGGAAAGTCTTATATGGATCCCATTTTATATGGATCCCATATTGATTCTTGCCTGAGGCTAGCCTAAATTAGGGTGGAGAGGCGCCTTGCCAGAAGGTTGGCTGCCAGGTGATGTATTTTTTTTATTCCAGTAATTCAAAAAAATCTTTTAAGATGTGAACTATTTGCATGGGGGAGGGAATAGCCACACTAATCAAATCATGAGACTTGGAAGTGTGCCATATGTACTGTTGTTTCATAAGGCTCGTAAACTTATTGAGCAGGGAGCATGGCTTTTATTTCTCTTGTATTCCATAAACAAGGCCACAAAGCTCTTAGTAGATGCTCAGCAACTACTTGGTGGTGGTTGATTTATTTTCGTTTGTTTCAATCACCTCCATCATTTTGTCTATATAGACACAGGCCATATGCTTGATGAGAAAGAGAACAGACCACATGAGTCTTCATGCATAATTTGTTATTAAAGAGAAATGGGAAGCATATGAGAGGAAGAGTATTTGTACAATGTCACCTTTTCCTCTTTCAAAAGGACAATAGATAATATCTCAGTAGCTTGAAAAAAAAAGTGAATCCACCTAATTAAGCCATTTATTCTTCCATGGGCACTCTCATATGTGTATATGTATGTGTATACATGTATAGGTATGTATACTTTTTTTTAATAAGGAAAAATAGGAGTATTCATGGTACAGTAGAAGGAACATTGAATTTGAAGTTAGAGGACCTTCTGAGTGATCATTCTATCATTTACTATTTTAGGTTTGTTAAAAAAAAAAAAGGAGTTTGAATTGGATGACCTCTAAGGTCCCTTCTAGAGCTAGATGTATTGTTCCTGTGATGGATGAGAATTAGGGGGATACTGTTTATTGCCTTTGTATGAATTTAAAGGAGAAATATATGCAGAAATGTGTTATGGGTGGGGTAAGGGCCATTGATAAAGAAAGTATTAAGAAGAAACCAGTTAATTTGAATTTTGAGTCCAAACTCAAGAATAAGAAAATGTTTCAGACCAAATTATATAGGTTGTAAAAACTTAAAAAACAAAAAGAGTTGGAATGAAATGAAAAATGTTCTTAATCTTTGTCAGAGCATGCTATCAATTAAATGGGAGGGATAATTGGGGTATGGGTAACTCTTTAAGAGTAGAAAGAAATGAAGCAAACTTCACATTTTCATTTATTAAAGCATTTGACTACATGTGATACTTTTTAGAAAAGTGGATGAAATTGCTATTTATGTACCTTTAGAGTTCTAGTTTCTTACCATTTAGATAAATCTGTGTATCCCCCTTGTTTATCTTTGGGGTGTTGAAGCTCCAGAATGAATCCTGTCTTGACCACTGTCTGTCTTTGCTCATTTATCATGATTCACTGCTACAGGCTTGAAACACTTCCCTCTAATTTTGCCAATTCATTTTGAAGTACTCTGGGTTCTTTATGAATACGTTAGCCAAAATAGTTTTGTTGTTTAGTTTAATCAACAACAACCAAGTAGAGGATTCCCCAATCTTTGACATTCTCCCACATACAGCCTTTTCCTCCCTGTCCCTAAGATATACCATCTTTCTGTTGTGAATGTGAATTTGGAAGAAATGTTTTCTTAGGCCATGCAGACTTTTGGAAGTGTGGTATTTTCAACAAAGACCTTTAGATATTGAAAGGTACAACAGCCATCAACATCCTCTTAAGTCAGATATGTCTTCCCCTTTGCATGCAGGAAGCATGTAGTCCATTTGCTTTTCCTCTTATGAAAATATATTGCACCTTCTTCTCTTACCAATACCCTTGCTTCCAGCTGGGATTCTACCAAACAATGGAAAATACTAGGGTGGTTGTAAAGCCAGCTGACTGCTTAAGTCAGTTTTCTTTGTTACTCTCCATTCATTTAAATAAATCAATTTTTTTCTCCATGTAACCTGCAGAAAATAATTTTTAATACTACCAAGTTATCAGGCCACTACCAAGGAACATGCCATTTAACACTTGTATTTTCCTATCAAATGCTGTAGAACTGTGCCAGTCTCATGATCTACAAAAAAAAAAATTGTCATTGTTTTTCCAGAACATTGCCTCATATGGAATGTTGCATATATTGTTAGACATGTTCAATATGTTTTATATATATATAAACTTTATTACTAGGGAAGAGAGGGGAATAAAGGTATATTCAGAAAATTAATATATTTTAAAAGCAAAAGACACTGGTAAAACTTTTTTCTGTTAAATAGTATTTCATTTTTTTCCAATTACATGTAAAGACAATTTTAACATTCATTTTTAAAATAAAATTTTGAGTTCCAAATTTTCTCCTTTCCCTCCCTCCTCCCTGAGACAGTAAGCAATTTGATATAGTTATATTTGTATAATATAAATTATATATGTGCAATCATGTAAAACATATTTCATATTATTCATGTTGGGAAAGAAGAAACAGAACCAAAACCAAAATTGAAAATAGTAAGCTTTGATCTGCATTCAGACTCCAGTTCTTTCTCTAGATGTGAATGGCATTTTCCATCACAAGTCTTTTGGAATTGTCTTGTCTCATTTTATTGCTGAGAAGAGCTAAATTAATCATGATTGATCATCCTATGATATTACTGTTACCAGTAAAACTGAAGCGGAAAAAAAACCCAGTCCTTAGATTTAGTAAAACGGTTACATGTTCCAAAACACTGTGTCCCACTCTGGGTCAAGAACATCAGTTGGTAGGGAGAAGGGGAAGGACTCAGAGTTATTACATGTGGTCCACAAATCCATATGCGCACTAAGTATTGTTGTTTTGATCTTTGTTTTTGCACTAGATTGAGAGAGTTACCCATAAGTTCTCAGCTAGTGTCTTCCTGACTTTGAGGCCAACATTGTATCCGCTATGATTTATTGCCTTTCAGATATATAAGAAGAGATTGAGGTGAATGAAGTAAAATTCATTTAAAAGTTACTGAATTCGTAGTAGCTTTTTCTCATGAAATATTTTCTTCTTCAACAACAGCAAATAGCATATAGGAGTCCATAATGTTTTTGATGTTTAAAAGATGCTCTTCCATTCCCTAATTGATAAATGGTCAAAGGATATGAACAAGCAGGTCTCAGAGGAAGTTATCTAAGCTCTCAATAGCCATGTGGAAACAACAACAACAAACAAACCACTCCAAATCCCTAATATTTAGAGAGCTGCAACTCTGAGATCCCACCTTATCCAGTCCATAAAATTGTCAAAGTTAGAAAAGTAATATGACAGTTGTTGTAGGGGCTGTGTGAAAACAAGAACTGTTAATGGATAGCTATTTTGGAAAGCATTTTGGAACTGTGTCCCACAAGTCGTTAATCTGTGCATCCTTTGTACACTTTGACTCAGTGATATCATTACTAGGCCTATTCCCCCCAAAAAATCAAAGAAAATGAAAAGTTCCTATATGGACAAAAATATTTATAGCAGCTCATTTTGAGGTGGCAAAGTACTAGAAGCTAGGAATGCTC